CCAATCTCAGAAGCTCCTTGCAAAGAGCAGGCGTCTGCGGGAGCTCCCCCACATTAGCCAGGCTGACGAGGCGACGGTAATACGCCTCTGATGGAACTTTAGTGAGTCTGTATTCTGGGAGTTTAGACTCTAACGGTTTAGGGCTCTAGGGCTTTTCGAATGTTGCGGTTTCGGAACTCTTTCAGTCAAGCTGGGTTGCGGGAAAGCTCAGTGGGTCACAAATCAGGGCATGCCAGAGTTGCACCCAGAATCGTGCTGGCCCTTTCGGAGACTACTGTCGGGTGCCTTGTTCGGCTGCCGCAAGATTTCCTGCTTCGTCTTGGAGCGGATGCGCTTCAGCAAGGCCTCCGTTTAGGGCCAGAGGGCGCGGCTGTTTTAAGGTGGAGAGTCTGCAACTGCGAACAGAGTCGCACGCTCAGCCCCAACACACCCAAGGTCTTGATCTTGTGCCACCGAACCAATCCCTGTATCGTGTCCAATGCACGGAAAGCCTAGAATGCAAGGCTGTCCAAGCCGTTAAACATCATCGACCCTGCGCATCCCTGAGCACAAGCGCGTGATGCCAAAGGAAGCTGTCAGAATTCCGAAGGATCAGCCAAGGCAGGAAACTAGTAGGTCGGCATCACAGCAACAACAATAAATTTGCACTGCCCAGCTTGAGTCTTGGTTCCTTCACATGCTTGGCTTTGAGATTCCATTTTGCGATCAAGGTTTTTGTAAGCGTCTCAAACTCATGGTAATTTACAGGGCCACTCACCGTATCAATCCGAGTCATTCAGGGCTGCTGGCAAGGGCAAATCCTTTGATGTCCAGCTTACTCGCAAGTTGGGATCCTGGACTGATGTCCCACACTGCTTCAGGCGCAGGAAAGCCCCTCATACCATCTCCACAACTAAGTTGCCAGAGATCCAAGACATACATCATGTCACCATACAACGAATGTTGTGCATACTCCCTCGCAAGAAGTCCTTTCTTCGCAGCCTAGACAGACAGCAGCAATGAAAGCAAAAGGAAATCCTACGCAATACGGCAGACGCGCGTACAGAGCCAAGGAGACGGACTGTCGTTGACCGTGCTGAGGTATGTGTATTGAAGATGTCGTAAGTCAGCATACCTGAAGATAAGTTGAACCCCGTCTCAGCTGGGACAACCCCAGACCTGCCTCCACCTCAGCCTTCGTGGCCGGCTGTGTTCGCCGGCGTTTGGCTGCTGGCAGAGCCTGTCAGGTCGGAGCAAAGGCGAAGACTGCACTTGTTGGGTCGATGCTTAGTGGAACGAAACCACAAACTCTAGTGTCGATGCCCAGGACATCCTACACGTCGGTCTCAAGACAGCTTGCACAAGACTGCAACCCATTCGTCAGTTTGTCGTCGGCTGGGAACTCATGCCGAGCCAAGCTGCAGATGAAGCATTTGCAAGGAACATGTCCCGGTACTTGTCCTTTCGAAAAGATGCATAGGAACGTTTGCAAGTCCAAGGTCCGAAAACCAAGCTGCTGGATAAGCCGTGTCAAGATCAAGACTGGGAGTCTCGAAAGTTCTAGAGAATAGCATGTGCGGTTGAAGCCGAAGAGTTAGGTGCCTCCAGACGGCTTCATTCCAAGCTGCAAGACATGCGCTTTCTGAAAATAGTGCTTTGTTCTACGGCAATCGCGCTCTGACTGGTGTCGACATCTGGACGCATGAGTGACAAGAAATCCTTTTCAGCGTCGGAGGATGTGAACATCAAACGATGCAATTACTTTTCGACGACTGGCCCAAGCCCCAACAAAGACAACATGGAAGCCTTCACTCCGACGGCCCTGTCCTGGAGGCTGACCTCGGCCTCCCCTGGCTGCGCCGAACAGGCTCTTTCCTCAGCCGCGAGCCGTGTTTTTTGATGCCGTGCTTTCTGCGTTCCCGCTGAATTCTGCCGAAAGACCGGGCGCCGCAGGCTCGAAACCCCAACATATTGCTTTCAGAAAGTGCCACCTGAACATGCACCAATGCCGTACGAAACACCTGCCGGATCTTCTCCGCAGCAGCTGCTAAAAGCGCCTCTCACACAATGTACAACATCAGGCCTCACACCCCATGGGTTCATGCCCCTTTTCACGACTCCAGCCCCGCAATATCAATTTTGCCTTACTCTTCACGCTCCTCAAAACGTCTGTCCCGCGAGCCCGAACAATGTGCGTTTCGCCGCTGCCTGGATTCCATCCAGGCGGTCGAGAATCCTCAGAACAGGACACCCCAGGAGTGCTCGGAGCACAGGCAGGCTCGGTGAGCTTGGAGCTTACAGTCACAATAGGTGCTTTGGGCAAATGTCCGGTCTTCGAAGTGCAAACGCACAACAACAACAACAACAACAACAACAACAACAGCAGCAGCAGCAGCAGCAGCAACAACAACAACAACAACAAGGCAGCACATGCGTTTGCCGCCGCGCGGGGTGTGTCGTTTGTCTTGGGGACGTTTTTTGTAAAAAAACGCAAATTTGTCGATATTTGTGTGGTTTTCCT